TCCATATGTGACCAATCATCATAGCCGCTATAAAAAACATGCTCAGTAACAAGCTCACAAGCAATCATTAGAAAACAAACTGAATCTGAAGTTGTGACTTGAATCTGAAACAACCTGAATCTGAAACAAACTGAATCTGACACAAGCTCACAAGCAAATCCATATAGCACAAACTAAATCTGAAACAAAGAAACCATGTAACGAGCTCACAAGAAACCATTGAAACAACCTGAATCTTAAACAAACTGAATCTAACACCATTGAAACAACCATTGAAACAACATTGTAGTGAGATTACATATAGCCTTTATTGCCAATGGATCTTTCTTAACTCTCATCTCTTTTGAACCAAAACAACAACAATAAAATCAGGATTCAACTTTGTTAAACGGGAAACATTTTGGAAGCCAGATTTCAAGATGAAGCCCATAAAACTTGGAAATTTTTGGATGAAACACTTCCTATTTCTGACAGGAAGGCAACATCCCTCAGTAAAACAAGAAAAGCTAGAAGGCTAAAATAACAAGCTCTTCAAGGTTAAACTCAGTGCACAAATAGGAGTAGCTAATTTATTATATATACCTGTATGCCATAGTCATTGGAGAAGCATAAAGATAGCTCAACTTTCTCAAATTTAGAAGCATCACTCACAGAAGTGCCTCTGGTTTTGTACCTAGAGAAATGGAGACCATCAAATGCAACTCTCATAGCCATACAAACATTCTCTCCCAACATTGCTAAAATTGTAAAAATAGCATATATGATATCTTTCTAACACAAGCATTCATTTATGTACATACATACACACATTAGAAAACAAACTAAATCTGAAGTTGTGACCTGAATCTGAAACAACCTGATTCTGAAACAAACTGAATCTGACACAAGCTCACAAGGAAATCCATTTAGCACAAACTGAATCTGAAACAAAGAAACCCTGTAACAAGCTCACAAGAAACCATTGAAACAAATTGATTCTGAAACAATTTGTGCGTAGCACATCCTGAGTCTGAAACAAACTGAATCTGAAACAAGCTCACAAACAAATCATAGAAAACAAACAAGTAACCAAGGTAGGGGCTCAGATATAGGTATTAAAACTTTTTACATGGAATTAAAAACATAGGACTATCTTTGTCATGATGGCAGTAGCCTCTACAACCTGCACAAGATACACAATCATGGGAAGTTGAGTCAGAGGTTGACATAGGCCTATCTGTAAGGCATCATTATTCATGAAATCACACAATTACAGACGCATAGTCTGTAATGACCAAAGGAGAGGCTGCTTACACTAGTTCCGACAGCATGCACAGGGACACTAAGGACAAAGATAAAATCATCTGAGATCAGTGGGTAAGAGGCATGTAGTGATATTATATGAATGAAGATGATATTCATCGAACTCCATGAACAAACATGAAGAAACCAAATTGAATGCAAGCAGCCGCAAACAAGCAAGATGGACCCATCATCATAGCCTCAAATCCTTACGTGACCAATCATCATAGCCCCCATCAAAAACAAACTAAAGCTAAAACAACCTGAACTTGAAACAACCTGAATCTGAAATATACAATGAGTTCTGAAACAATCTAAATCAAGCTCAAAAGCAACCATTAGACAAAGAATACAACATTTTCTTGAGATGTATATGAAACTGAAACTGAAACCATAGAAAACAAGCAAGCTCACAAGCAACCATTAGACAAAGAATACAACATTTTCTTGAGATGTATATGAACCTGAAACTGAAACCATAGAAAACAAGCAAGCTCACAAGCAACCAAGCCTCATAATAGGACCAAGGTAGGGGCTCAGATATAGGTATTAAAATTGAATACATGGAATGCCTCATGTAACAATGATGTTGCAATGGAGGTTGCAATCACAGGAATGGATTGCCTCACCTAACATTGTAAATGCCATGTAGATTGCAATCACATGAACGGATTACCTTACCTAACATTGTAAATGCAATGTAGGTTGCATTTTCATCCTAGATTGCCCTATCTAAACATAGCAAAACATTGTAGATTGCATTCTCTTAACTAAGACCATCATCATTGCCCACTTTGAAGACAACCATGTAGCCATACCAATACATATCGTGCAATGTAGGTATTCATATCCAATCATATTTATATAAACCTACAAAAGAACCAAAGTTATAATGAGATTGCAATTAGAGTAGTGAAATATGCAAGATATTGGCAAAAGCAGTGAAATATGCATAAAGTTACACCGCTAAGTGTACAACTTACATAATTAGAAACATAAAGCTACACCACTAAGTGTTCAACTTACAAAATTAGTTACATCATTAAGTTGTTAAATATACAATGAGTTTACAAAAGTAATAGATATGTCAAGTCTTCAAAAGTAGTGCAATATCAAGTTTTCATAAGTCAAACCCTTGCTCGTTGATAATCTTCTCTATAAATAGCTTTTCAGAATTTTTGGTTTTGATGATCAACCTCCTAGATTCTGATTCATGGTCATACAAGTAATCAAGCACTTTATCCAAAAACCCCTCAGAAAATTCATTCTCATGCGTCATTAGAGCATTCGCCATGGTCTCACTTCAATGCACAACACGTTGATTTACATGTTGATTCTAAATTAAGAACGATATCGTGTCAATGAAACCGCGCATGAGAGTCTCATCCTCTTTAGCCTTACTACTCTTCTTCCTAGGAGTTGATGTATCAATTGATGCAGAAGCTACCCCACTAGAAGCCTTTAAATTTTTACCTTGAGAGTTGTGGTTTTGCTCAATTGATTTATCGGGCTCAAGACGTGGGCTTGAGGACAAATCAACCTCATTATCACTAAGTGTTACATGATCCTCATCTCTATCTGTATCATGTTGTCTAGATCCAAGCTTTTCAGTCATATCTTTGGTGAAATCACCATTTGCTTGGTCATCTCCCGCGATATAACACAAGTTCTCATAGTGAATGAGAGGAGTGTTCAAATACTCCTTCAATCTAGATCTATTGCATTTTTTGTCCTATACAATGAAATATTGCAAAATCAGATACTCAGAAGTAAATATTCAAAGAAGCTTATTTATCAAAAATATTACCTGTGTCCACCTATCAAAACAATCTGGATCCATGGTGACAATCTTAGTTTGTGGATCATAACCAGCCCCACTCATGTTCATGACGGTGCGCATATCAAAATATTTACCCTTCAATGACTTGACATGGTTCATGACATTCTCCTTTGTGAACTCAGTGTCACACTTCTTGTTGACCTCCTCTGCAGCTCTTCGATATGCAAGCACCTTAAAGTTTTTATCAACTTTGAGACCATCCTTTGCCATCTGCGCAAGGAAGGGGATTAACACATCATCATTCTCTGCAGTCCATTTAGCATTAGGCACCCCCCTTGTATTATCTTTCTTGTTCAAGAGTTTTGGTGGCATTTTTCTTTTAGTAACTGGCCGCTTCTTGCTTTTGCTTGGTGAGGTAGCATCATCCTCAAGGTCAATTGCAATTGGCCTCTTCAAAGAATGAGTCTCACTTGAATGGGTACTAGGTGAAGTATGGATAAGTGGGTGGCCACTGTTAAGCATATTCATAAATGACATGGGTTGTTGAGTCATAAATGAGTAGTTCATATCATAAGGATTGTAAGATGGATAAGTCGGTGGAGCAATGTATTGGGGAGGAGGGAATGATTGTGTAGTAGGTGGTGGGAGAGCCGGGAAGTATGGATAAGTAGGTGTTGTTGGTGTTCTAGGTGAAGTATTATTGAACTTATCACTTTCTTTCATTAGAATCTACCATGACTGATTGCTACAAATGAAAACAGACAAATAACAAATTTCAAACCTCATGTTAGTACAATAATAGAGTACAAACAACAAAAAGTAGCATTCATAAAGCCTAATCATCATAGCTAAATCCAGAAAACTCAAATAACCCACAAGCATGAAAAACCAATATGCAAACAAGCCAAACAGCTCATATAATCAAGGTTGCAAACAAGCACAAAATTAAACAGAACCGCAATCTGGCAAGTTGGATTTAATCCAAAATAGCATTCATAATGATAATATACTCATTTATCCATGAGTATTGTTGTAATATCAACGAATACATAGATAATGATAATATACTCATTTATCCATGAGTATTGTTGTAATATCAACGAATACATAGAGGTAGTAGATAATATATCAACGAGTACAATAATACATGGAGTATTGTTGTAATATCAACGAATACATAGAGGTAGTAGATAATATATCAACGAGTACAATAATACATAGAAAATATAACTTAAATTACATTCCAATTTCGGTTGTGTCTCCGCCGCGATATTTATCATAATAATCTTCCCACATTTCAATTGCAATTTGATCCCTCTTTGCTCGCCATTCATTTCTTGAATCTTTTTCCTCTCTTTGTGTCATAGTTTGAGTAAAGTCAACAACACCCTCTTCACCTTCATTTGCTATTTCATCTCCATCCTCTTCAATATGGTTGTCCTCATGCAACAAATCATCGCCCGGGTCTTCTATGGCGATATAGTTATGAAGTATAGTACATGCAATAACTATATCAACTTGAGTTGGAAAAGGGTAATGTGGCTTCGCGGATAGGATTTTGAAATGATTTTTTAATACCTCAAATGTTGATTTAATTTTAGACCTTAGGGATGAGTGTCTTAAATTGAACAACTCTTGTCTATTATTGATTGGCCTACCCTTGTGCTCATTTAGATGATACCGCACTCCTCGATATGGGGAGATAAAGCCATGCATAGTAGTGTAGCCCGCATCACACAAATAATATTTTCCTACAATTACCAAAAATAAATTTAGTATATTTTTTAATTGTAATTAAGTAGACATACTTTATTTGAAAGATTTATTACCGTCGTAAACTCTCAATCCACGAGGTTGTGGTCTAGATAACGCGTCTTGAAAAACTCTATAATCATTTGCGGATCCCTCTCATCCAGCTAGAACATACGAAAATAACTTTTTAGGAGTGCATGCAGCTAGAATATTTTGAGTTACACCTTTACGACCTCTAAAACGTGCAACAAGGCTAGCGGGAAGCATGGCGTCGATATGGACCTCTAAAACGTGCAACAAGGCTAGCGGGAAGCATGGCGTCGATATGGGTTCCATCTATCATGCCAATGCAATCCTATATGATACATTAAACAGTTAATCTATCATGCCAATGCAATCCTATATGATACATTAAACAGTTAATAATAATAGAAAGGTAAAATTGACCATTATATTATGAGTAGTTATGTTATAATAATGATTACCTTGAAATAAGGATAGTATAACGGGTTAGTGGCAATCTCTGACGATACTTCACTTGGTGCTTACTTCATGTACCGCCCCCTTAAACGACCAACGGCTTCCAAGCACTTGTTAAAATATTTTGAAACGGTTTCTCCCGATCTTATGAAATGTGACCTAACAATTCTATTTCTTGTTTTACGGCCTAATATATTAAGGAACATGAGCAATTGTTCTTCTACTTTAACACTGTGACGCCCCTGGGTTCACACAAGGCTGCAGTCCAAGATGAAACTAGGAATGTCAAACCTATCATGCACCACACCGTGCAATAACATGTTTCACCATCACAATTCTATCACTCTAGTAGAGCCAATAACAGGTGTAGGTACAAAAGCAAGTAAAAGATAATATAAGAGATGACCGATGAAATGATAGAGATCAAAATAATATTTCATCATCCAACGTACAGAAAAACAAAGTCAATGTCTGAAATGAATAAACTGGATTTCTTAATAAATCTCAAATACAACAAGTCTGAGTAAAGGAAATAAGGCACACAGCCTTTATAACATCTAGAATAAAATCCTCAAAGGTCTGAACAAAGTCTACAGTGGAACTCCATAAATAAAATATAACTAAATAGACAGCTGAAGCTATAGTGCATCGCCATCAACCTGCGACTCTCCGGGCTTCTGGCTCGTTACCTGAAAGGGGGGGGGACAACGAGCGTCAAAGCGCTAGCGAGCAACATCACAACCAACCCCAAGGAAAAGGGCTCGTTGTATACAAAAAATACAATTATTTCATAATAGTTAAAATCTTTGATCCTAGCAAATAATGGGTTTTAGTCATTAGGAAATTACAACATGAGCATAGGTACGTCGAGTGAAATAATCCAAACAAGGAAACCCTCATGTATATACCTTGTATCTCAAATTGTAAATCCCTAAACACCAAACCCAAGATCTAAAACAGGAACAATAATAAAGAGAAATAAAACTCATTTCAGAACTTAAATACTGTGTCATGTCATAACCAAATAAGTGTCCAAGGTCAAAATTACATAAGTGTCATGTCCAGCCTAGGTAGCTATCATGTCTAAATCTCATGTAATCATGTCATGTCCTGATTCAGATAAGTGTCATACTCATAGCTTAACAAATGTCCACATATGTTCTAATAGGTAAATGTCCAACACAAGGACTGAAATGAATTATAGTCCAACACAAGGACTTTAATGGATTATAGTCCAACACGAGGACTTTAATGGATTATAGTCCAACACGAGGACTTTAATGGATTATAGTCCAACACGAGGACTTTAATGGATTATAGTCCAACACGAGGACTGAAATAATATAGTTTGCCCAACACATGGACCAATTAGTAAATATCAATGAGATATGTGAAAAGATACACTTATACAAATTTCACACGCGTCTTGGTGTATGATTCTAAACTGGTGTCCTCAGGTCATCTATCATGCCTGTATAGATAGAAAAAACTAAAATCTAAATATCAAATAATCGAGGCAATGCCTCGAACACACAAAAATACACAACAAGAACAACTGTGCACCAAAACTATGCGGCGGTCGATCGACCCGGTCGACCGCACTCAGAGTAGAAACTTACTATGCAGCAGAAAACATCACGGTCGACCGCCGCGGCGTGCGGTCGACCGCCAAGACATCGCGGTCGACCGACCCGGTCGACCGCGCAGTGGGCAGACGAGTTCTGCCCCTTCTGCGCGCCCAGCGGTCGACCGGTGCGGTCGACCGCAAGGCAGACAGAGGCCCAGATCTGGGTTTTTCTGTCAGCTTCGAAACCTGTATATTCCATTCTCTCTTTGAGTTTACAGCAACATAGCATTCTTAAAATGTCATATAATAGATAAAAATGAAAATTTTCACATTTAGAAAACATTACCAAGATCCCAAACATATTTCAACATGATCTATATATTATTAAAACAATAAAAGACAGAAGTTTACTCTTTTTAAAAACATATTCAGATTTAGATCTCTTTAATAGAATTCATTGGTGAGCTTTTAAAATATGAAACACCTGAATCTCATAATATATGCTATAATGATCTATTAGCTATTCATAAAATACGAATTTGGCCCAATAAAACCCAATAAAACTCAAACAAAGCATGAAAAACAAAAGGAGGAGAAGTTGGGAAAGATGTTACTCGCCTCTGATGTGGAGAACGCTCCTTGATCTGTAGGAAGATGATCCCATGTTGAATCCCTCAGGAAATCTGCCGAGAATCCTTCGAAATTCCCCCAAAATTCCAAAATCCGAGCTAGGGTTTAGAGAGGAGAGAGGGAAGGGGGCTGAGGCTATTAGGGTTCAAAAGAGGGTTCTGAGAGCTTCAAAACGAGTATATATACCTAGGGTAACAAGCGGGTTTGGTATAGACAAAACCCGACCCGAAACAGAACTGACAGTTCGACTGCACAGAGATCTGGGTCATGCTCAGACTGGGGTTAGGTAAAATAACTGTAACGTTCTCATACAATCTCGGAATGAGGTGATCTAAGATTCATTGGAAAGATCTTGAAGAGACCTACAACTTTGATCTTATACACGTTTCCAGATTCTGACTGAAACAGTATGAAAAATATAAAAACTCTCAACTGGTCAAAATTCTCAGATTCTCACTCTTTGCCTTTGTGCATGTTTTGTGAATTTGAACTCATATATTCACAAATATACATTGAATTGACCTCAAATCAATTCTTATCATACTCAAACATCAAATATATATTATTTTCCCATATAACATATTTATAATTATTTATCACATTGTATTCAAATTTTCAGGGTTTTACATTCTTCCCCCCCTTTAAAAGAATTTCGTCCTCGAAATTCAGAAATCATACTTAAGCAAATAATAATACTAGAAAAACATGTAGTGGGTCTAATTCAACCCGTAATCATAAATATTTAGAATATTTACTCTTGATAAGCATATAGGGATATTTATATTTAACATTCCAGGATGACTATATTCCCACTCAACCCTTAATCGAATGGAACTAGTACGTCGGGCAAAAAATCCAAACAAGGAACCCCCCATATATATACCATGTGTTCCAAAAGATTAAGAATTAAGTGAAAATATCCTCATTCTAGTGTTAAATCAAAATATAACCACACACATAATCACACATATAAATCAATACACTTCCTCAATAGGTGCAGGAAATCGCGCGGCATAAAATCTTCGCGCTCCTGAAAATCATCTCAACTCCTTTCTTGTTCCACTGAGTTTTCACCAAGGGAAAAAAAATATCTTGTTTCTAAATGTCTAGTCTTCTCTAGCAAGTATACAAACTGGGATTTCAATCGTAGTCAAACCATCCTGAAGCTAAATTTCTGATGCGTTCAACACTCACTACTGCTCTTCATCATGTAATTGTTTCTTGAACATTGAAACATGAAATACTTTATGTACACCAGACATTGATGCTAGAAAGTCTAGTCCATATGAAACAGCCCCAATAAGCTCCAAAATCCGGAACGGTCCAATATGTCTCAGCTCAAGTTTTCTCCGCCTTCCGAATCGCTGAACGTCTTTCATAGATGATACTTTCAGCACAACTACCCCTTCAAATCTGAAACTCTAAAGGTCTTCGCATAGCCCTTTTTGCCAACTTTAAGCGGCTAGAATCTGTTCTCTGATCAATGTTACTCTCTCAGTAATCTGTCTCATAAGCTCTAGCCCAAGCATTAAACTATTCTTCGACTCTACCCAATATATAGGCGATCTGCAAGGCCTCCCGTACGATGCTTCATACTGGGCTATACTAATTGTCGCTTGATATCTGTGGTTATAAGTAAACTCTATCAGTGGAATAGAATCCTCCCAGCTGTCTTGAAAGTCAATGACATAAGCCCGCAACATGTCTTCCAACATCTTATTTACTCTCTCATTTGACCATCCGTTTGTGGGTGGAATACACTACTTGTAAGATAAATCTGTTGCCAAACGAATCCTGGAAACCCATCCAAAAATACGAAATGAACATTGAACCTCGATCCGATACCATCATACCTGGAACTCCATGAAGTTGAATTATCTTCCAAATGAATATCCTCGCATACGTCTCAGCTGTACAGTTAGTCTTCACTGGAATAAAATGTGCTGACTTCGTTAGTCTATCTATTATCACCTAAAAAGAATCATTTTCTTTCTTCGACTTCGGCAACCCTACAATATAGTCCATAAAAATATCCGCCCACTCATTTTCTTTCTTCGACTTCGGCAACCCTACAATATAGTCCATAAAAATATCCGCCCACTTTCATTTTCAAAATGGGTAAGGACTAAAGTGTTCCTGTCGGTCTCTGATGTTACTCCTTCACTTGTTGACAGGTAAGACACTTAGCTACATACTCTTCCTGTCGGTCTCTGATGTTACTCCTTCACTTGTTGACAGGTAAGACACTTAGCTACATACTCTGAAACCTTCCTACACCTATCACTCCACCAAAAGTGTCTCTTTAAGTCCTTGTACATTTTAGTTACTGCGAGACATATGTAACTACTCTCTGAGTCTGCATCAAAATGTCTCCTAACTCTGCCAATGATGTATTTGTCTAGACCATAAATATCCTGTCGTTGCTCAGAATAGTTAAAACTGGCACTGTAGACAATTTAGCCTTCAAGGTATCAAAGGCCTTCTGGTACTCCATACTCCAAATGAACTATACATCCCTCTTCGTAAGGCGTGTATGTGGTGTCGAAATCTTCGAGAAGTCCTAAATAAACTTCTAATAATAGCCGGCTAAACCCAAAAAGCTATGAATCTCTATCTCCGTCTTCGGCAGATTCCAAATTAAGAACTGCTGAAATCTTAGCCGGGTCTATTGCTATGCCCTTTCTGCTGATGACGTGACCGAGAAATATGATTTTCTGAAAGTCAAAACTCACATTCACTGAACTTGACAAATAACCGATGCTCCTGTAGAGTCTACAAAGCTAACTAGAGATGTTGCTCGTGCTCTACCTCCGATTTCGAATAAATGGGGATGTCGTCGATAAAACTATCACAAACTGATCTAAGAAGGG